CATCATGTTTTGCAAGAAATCAACAGAAAAAACAGTTCAATGCATGGTAACGTTATGTTGTAATTACTGTATTTACGAATTTAGCACCATAACATCGCAATGTATTGAAACAGCTGTGGATCCGGGTGAGAGGCAGACTGCGTTGGATAATACAGCGAAGGCTGGATAAGTGAGATTCTACTGTAATAGTAAAAGCATAGAAAGTTTGCTCAAGTTCTCAGGACTTTTCTTGAGTCAATAGGGCTTAATCTTGTACTCTGATTCCCTGTATGAGTTTGATCCTGAAGCTGTTGATGAGGTAATAAAGAAAAATGTGTTATTGACATAGAATCCTGAAGCCGCTCAGTGCCCTTAAGGAATTGCAATTCCCTGTTTCTTCCATTTTGGTTCTCTGTGTTGGTGCTTACCACGTGATGGAAGTGATTTTGTTGGCTCAAAATGAGATAGGAGGAAAAGCTGGTGACCTTCAGAATATGTTGTTGGCAAAGCTAATGCTCCATTTATGCTTCTTGCATTTGTTGCAACCATTTCTTCTTGCCTTAATTTCAAACGATTTTCAGGAAGAATTCTTAGTTTTTGTTTTGATGGCGGCTTCTTTGATCATGAAGAACAGCAATCAAACAGGAAATGAACGAAGACATACCTCAAGGAAGATGTACAGGCCGAGTCTCCTTTATCCAAAATGCTTGAGACCAAATGTTTTTTCTAATTTTGAAATATTTGCATATTATAAGATGGGATCCAGATCTAAACATAAAATTCAACATAAAATTCATTTATATTTCATATAAATCTTATATATCTCCTGATGGTCATTTTATGCACAATATTTAAATAAATTTGAACATAAAACAAAGTTTGAGGATATGGAGCCATCAGAAAGCAAGAGTTTCACTATCTCAGCCACCACGTGGACAATTTTAGATTTTGAAGTATTTCAGAATTGTAGATAAGGAATGCTGAATCTGAATTCACTAATTATGAGGTTGGTTCAGCCTTTATGTTTTGTCATGCATTTATGTCTCCCAAGCATCAGGGTAGGCTAAACCTCATGATCTTGGCTTCACCTGTTTATCACACCCTACTATAGCCAAACTTGCTACCTGGAACTGCCACTTGAACTTTAAGTCTGAATTAAAACATTGCTATATTCAGGACCAGCTCTACCATTAGACAGAAGGAAGGAAGCCTCTTGTTGGTCAAGAAAACACATTTGAGTAGTTTAAGTTTATTTTCATTATATTTTTACTTCCAGAGATACCGTATATTTCAGCATATATGACGACTAGACATATAAGACAACTCCCAACTTTTCCAGTTGGGATGTATTCGCCATATAAGACTACCCCTCTTCCAACGTGCACCAATTTTTTTAAAAAAAGAATCAGATTTGATTTTAACATGGTAATTTTCCTATTACTGTACCTCCTTGTCCGCCTCTCAGATCTCGCACATCCGCACCTGCACTGCTTCACTGCAGTCTTCAGGAGCAAGATCTGAGAGGCAGACAAGGAGGTACAGACAGGTAAAAGAGGTGTGTTTGTCTGGGCCCCGAGCAACCTGGAAGCCTGCAGCTTGCTCTGCCCTTCACTTACACCTTCCCAGTGACGCACCCCTTCACCTCACCATCGGGCCCACATTAAGTCCACGAATCCAGATGAATGGATTTTCTTCTACCGTACTTGTGCACCGTCGCATTGCCATTTTTGAGTGCCCCCCACCATATGCAGCAACCACAGATTCTCCAATCCGATCGGAAATTTCAGCACCCGCTCTATAAGACTACTCCCGTGTATAAGACTTCTCCTGTGCATAAGAATACTCCTGTTTATAAGACTACTCCAGTGTATAAGACTACTCCCGTGCATAAGACTACTCCCGCGCATAAGACTACTCCAGCGTATAAAACTACTCCCGTGTATAAGACTACTTCCGCGTATAAGATAACCCCACATATAAGACGATCCCTGACTTTTGAGAAGATTTTCTTGGGTTAAAAAGTAGTCTTATGTGCCAGAATATACGGTAATAACTTCTGAATTGTATACTTTGCCCCCCTCCCAAAAAATATGTCTAGAATTTTTGGGTAGAGCAACATTGTTATTCTATTCTCATGTATAAACATATTTTGGGCTGGCCCTGGCTGTTTTAAACCATTGCATGAAGGTGCCTTCATGTGCACATACTATTTGATTTATTTGATCCAGATCTTTATGAATTAACCTTTCAACTAATAACTAGCATCTGAATGAATAATCTAATTCAAGTCAATCATGTCCTCCAATCATTATTTACTAAATATGACCATTTCTTTTTTTTGTACCAGATAAGTGTTTTTAGAGCCCTTGTTGAAAACAAATACATTATTTTTATACACTGGTTTAAACAATATTTGGAATAACAGATGTGCAGTGCTGTCATTTAACTGTCACACCTATTGTTCATTGTTCTGAGAAGGTCACATCATAATTCATTAACAATAATTATTCCCTGGGTACATGCTGCACTTCTTTACTCAATTGCTTCATTAGCTCATGAGTGAGTCTCACATTCATTGCACCAATCAATGAAGATATATTTATAATATACAAGTGGATGCTATTAGTTACAATTTATTAACTGCTTAATTTAAAATAAAAAGCTATCTTTATGAAGGGCAATTAACCACTAAGTATAATTTATAATTCACATACCTGCGATTAGGAAAGACAAATAAGAGAGGGGTAAACTGCATTTGGAGATGACTTCTTTGATATTTGAAATGGTCACAAGCTGTTTTTCACTTTAGAGCATTGCTTCCAATAAATATATTTTGTCTGGCTTGTGTAGGCAACATGGTTTGGTGTCTTTTTTTGGTAAACAATTTGAATTTCTAGATTTTCAATCTCTGAAGGACGTAGGCCGTGTGTAATAAACGAGATATAATAAACACATGCCACTGCCAATTCTGAGATACTTATAACCTGACTATTACCCCCCAAAGTGAGCCCTGCTGTATTGAATAGGAGATACCTTCAGATAAATACATCTGGCATTGTAGCAAACTGTAATATTCATTTTGAACTTGCACTGAACTTTACTGCTAAATATTGCAATTGTCTAGTAGTATATCTGTTCTATAGATCAGGATTAGGTAACCTATTTCTTGTACTTGTGTAAAAATCAACTGAAGGTTTGGGTCAAAATCATGAATTTTGATATGACCCATGTCATTGGGTTATTTTGTAGAGAAGTGCCACCCTGATGGCCACCACCACCACCACCACAATTTTCCTGCCATTTTCAAAAAGGCCACTTAACTTTTATAAAAAAACAACAACACAATATCCCTTCTCTGAGTAGACAAGACTTAGTCCATTTTTGGAGGAACCTAAAAGAAGCACTGACCCTCTGTATTTTCTCAGCATTTCTTTTAGAGGAAGTGTCAACGAGACACAATTGCCACAATTTTTCCACTGAGGGATTCAAAAAAGGCAGAAGACACACCACTATGGAGAAAGTAGAGAGTTTAGTGCTTCTTTTAGGTTCTTCTGGACTATTGGTTCCAAACCTGTGGTCCGTGAACCACCAGTGATCTACAAAAATGAAAATATGGTGCGCGGCCTCACCATTATTACACCATTGCCTCAAAACCACGCAGCAACAAGAGCGACTCATCTCGCGAAACCCTCTTAAAGTTTTGAGGCGACGGGAATGTTGGGAGGGGAGAGGCTGACTACCCATGAAAAATTACTACTACCACATCAGCTCTAGATTATTAAATATTGTTTTCTGTGGACGAGCAGATGGCAACTACTGGATGGAATATGTTCCGTATCAGAAACTAGAGCTGATGTGGTCTATCCAATGCAATTTCCTGAATCAGCACCTCAAATAACCAAACTGAATCTAAAGTTGACCAAAAACTGATTAGTAGCTCATTTGGTACTAATGTTGGGGAGTGGTCCCTGGTCAAAGTGGTCCCTGGTCAGAGTGGTCCCTGGTCAAAGTAGTCCCTGGTCAAAAAAAGTTTGGGAACCGCTGGATAAACAAAGGTCTTGCCTTTTACCATTCTACTCAGAGAAGGGGATAATTCCTTTGTTGATAAGAATTATGGTGCAGTATTGGCATGAACCCATTGATATTTTGACTAATTTTAAGTCATTTGTTTTTCTAAAATATCTATACTTATATGTATATACCAAGGGTCCACAAACTTTTTAAACAGAGGGCCAGGTCACAGTCCCTCAAACTGTTGGAGGGCCGGATTATAATTTGGAAAAAAAAAACATGAATGAATTCCTATGCACACTGCACATATCTTATTTGTAGTGTAAAAACACTTAAAAACAATAGAATAATTAAAATGAGGAACATTGTTAACAGATATAAACTTATTAGTATTTCAGTGGGAAATGTGGGCCTGCTTTTGGCTGATGAGATAAGATTGTTGTTGTTGTTATGTGCTTTCAAGTCGTTTCAGACTTAGGTTGACCCTGAGCGAAAGCCGGGTAAATGACCTTGGAGGGCCGCTAGATTTAGGTTAAATGACAACATGTTACAATAATTAATATATTTTCACAATTGGTTCTTTACCCATAGTCTCTATTAGTCCTCTGACCTAGTGATTCTTTTACAAGAGTTATCAGTTATATACTTTGACGTAATAACACTATGTACAAAATTTTCTGTTTCTGCTTTGAAAGTGTTGTCTCCTGTTTAATTGTGCAGTACTTACTTTGCAATTACTGTTGTTACACTCCAGAAACTTTGTTTTTGTGACTGCCAGAAATTATGTTGAATTGGTTGAGACTCTACAAAATATTCCTTGAAAAACTATAGCAAAATGTGCTGCAGGATATCCTGCAAAAAAAAAAGTTTTTGCAGTTTAATAAACCTTTTTTATGTTTTTATGATAGAACTAATTAGGAAATGACATTTATAACCCAGGAACAAAAATTGTGTTACATAGTGTAATTTTTAACTTGTGGTTTTAAGTTCTCATCATTTTGTTCTGACAGGATCAAGGCATCTGGTCTGAAGCTGCGATTCTGCACCAATGAAACTCAAGCTACTCGGGAAAAGTTTGTAGAGAAGTTGCAGCATTTGGGTTTTGACATTGTAGTGAACGAAGTCACTGCTCCAGCACCAGCAGCCTGCCGAATTCTGAAGGAACGTCAGCTGAGGCCACATCTCCTTGTTCATGATGGTTTGTTGGTTTTTAATGCTACACATCCAGTTACTATCACATATGGGATAAATGAGTAATCTGAACATACAGTATTCTCTTGTCTTCGTTGAGAATGAAGATATTTCAGAAACCACAGAGTATAACTGAAAACAGATAATTTGCAAGTTTTGTGCCATCTTCCATGGGAACTATGTGGGCAAAGGGAAAATATTTGTCATAAGCTCATAGCTGAAATATATTTTTATCTGCACATACCTATACAGCTATA